ATGTATTTCCTTTCTTTTTTTCATTCATTTTACTATGAGCTTAGTTATTATAAGTATTTTGAGCAATAATAGATAGTTGCCAACAGTTTCAAATCTCCCGCTCGTCTGTTTCGACTTCTGTATTCGAGCACATGCCCTCCGTACCCATAATAACACGGGCTTTGGAGAGACAAAGAGTCGAAACTGGTGAATGACCAATTTGAAACTGTTGGTGACTGTAAATGATTTAAATGACGACTGAGCTTGTGATCGAAAATAAAAAAAATCTTTCGTATTGGTAAAGCTGTTTTATTATTTTTTCTCTCTCTTTTTTTTTCACCTATTCTCTCCCTTTTTTCATGATAATTTTATTTTCTGATGTCTTGTTTATGTACACTGCTTCGCGTCTGATATTCATGCTCTCCTTAGTTGCTGACACTGTATTTCCATTCGTGTTCTGTTGCAGTATTTCCAGCGATGATGAGAAAGAGGGGGTAGAGATACATACATACATACATACATAGAGAGACAGACAGACAGACAGACAGAGACAAATAGACAGACAGACAGATACATACATACATAGAGAGAGAGAGAGAGACAGACAGACAGACAGACAGACAGAGACACAGAATGACAGACAGAAAGGCAGAGATAGATAATACATAAGTATTTCTATATTTTCTCCTTTATATAACGAAGCAAGGGAGAAATTATCATAATGATATTAGTAAAACCACAACAATGCCCACGGTTTAACAAAACACAAACACAAAGATTATACTATAATGGCAACAACAGTATTAATCCTTCTTTGAAACTAAATAACAACATAATCTTTGAACTAAAAGCATGCAAGCTTGCAGGCTGCTCCAGCAAGAATGTATATAAAAAAATAAAAATAATAATAAACAAAAAAAATAAGAACTAAATTATTTTTCCTTCATTTTTTTTTCTTTCTTTCTATCTTTCTTTCTTTCAAGTCGTGTGTCTTCTGCCCGCGTGCCAAGGTTGCATGTGACTGTATCTGTCCGCAACACGTGAGGCAGAATAGGTCATGCAATGGTGCCTGACCGAGGGACCTTGAATCAGGTCGCTCTGCCTGCCAAGCAAGCAAGGGGGGGAAGGGGAGGGGGAGAGGGGTTACGTAACTACTTGCTTGACTGTTGCTGATGCGTTTTCTGTGTTCTTGGGTCGTTAAGGAAAGAGATATCTGTGTTTTATATTCGTTTTTCCCCATTATACACAGAGTGAGTTTATTAAGTTATCAAAGGTACGTATCGTTTAAGTGGAATTTCCTTTTTTTTTTTTTTTTCCTTCGACACTTGGGTTCGATATGGGCTTTTTTTTTAAGATGGCAACACTGACTTACATAT